AAATCTCGTACTTGAACTGGTAACTTTAGACTAAAGGTTGAGGATAATTCTCAAAACTTTATCTAAAAATACAAAACACTAGAAGAGTATGAGGTCCTAAAAATGCGGTCTGAGCCTTCGTCCTCAAGCAAGATGGTTTTGAATATCCTTTACTGGCGATCAACACATATTCAAAGGATGATGAATCATGAAAAATGTATAAAACTAGCAACATGAGTTCTGATCCTAAAGGCCTAAAGAAACATAACATACCCCTTTAAAATACAACTCAGAGTGTGTATAACATACGGTCAAACAGCAATCACAAGAAATTCTTATTTAAAAACCTCCCATGAAAACACAACCAACTATGAGTTAAGCAAAGGAGAACAAGACATATGATTGGACATGTAGCGAGATCAAGCCTTAATCAAAATTCAAGGTCAGCATCATGCATCAGAAATAGCTCTTCTTCATGGTACAAAACTACAAATAATGAGTCTAGGTGTCAATGGATGGTTTGTGGTGTTGCAAAAGCCAAAAAGATTGTTGACGTTTGATAATTAATGATATGCAGGTGGAATATCTTCATCCTATGGGTACAGGAATTGAGCAGCACATTTCTTGCATCTTTTGGTTTGGCTCCACGATCTGCTGTGTCAACAGCAAAATTTTCTAGCAAGCCTAATGGTTATTCTCAAGTAGACATCCATAGTTAGGTATTGATGTGTCATTGCATTTATCATTTTTTGAGGTTGCGTATTTTTTGTTCTTCCACTGTAATCTTGAGGGTAAAGGGGAGGTTCATATATATCTTTCTCTCTAGGTGTTCTCTTCTAATGCAATGATGAACAAAGTAAGAATGCAGATTGCATAGCAAAGACCTCAAATAAGTAAAAACAAGATTCAAAAGAAATCAACAAAGACTTTACCTGAAGCTAAGACTTTTTCCCAGTTATGATACGAGATATCTGGAGGCCCCTACTGAATCCTTCATTAAAGAGTATCCTTGTCTGCATCGACTGGAACCCAGGCAACCATGATAGCAACGCCACAGGAACCAGAACAACAACTCCGAACAGTATATCATATAGCCTAGCCAATGAAAGCACAGTATCCCATACTACTGTGGCCTGAAGAAAGGGCCTGAGCACCTGGGCAATGCATATTATGCCCCACCCTGTCGGAATGAACGCCAGCATACTTGTGAGTAGATCGATGAATTTAAACGGGGTGAATTCCAACAAGAGAACAATCACAAGTACTGTGAGCACAATGACAATTAACTGAACAAGCCGATAATAGACATGTTCTTTTGCAGAATACTTATCCCGAGCATATGCTATTATCACATACATCGCAACAAAGACAACCACGAAAATCCAAGAAAGCAAGTAAACTGCTATACTGGTGCTTCCATTTGCGATCCCGAGTTGAAACACTATTCCATACTGAAAAAAGAAGTAGCGGAGATCCAGAATTATCTCCAACAACTTCCCCCAAAGACCGGTTGTCCTCAAATGGTCTTGCTCCTCATTCCACCATGTCTCCCAGCTCTGATCTGCTTTTGTAAACACTCCACCACGATACCATATCCAGTTCATGAAGTCATCAAAGTCATATACTGTCTTCAACCAATCAAAACCAGAAGGATTAAACACAAAAGGGGCCATGATCCATGATACTATCAGAAACCAACTTGTAATCGTCAGGGCTATGTAAACAAAAGTATCCTTGGCTATTGGGCTATGTGAAGCATAAACTATCAATATTACCCCAAGTTCAATGGCCTTAACAAAATGGCTACGAGCATAAAGTCTATAGTTCTCAGCAAAGCTCTTATGTTGCACAACAAAACCACGACCAGTAGCCCGGTACTTGGCACCACCATGGAGAATCGTGCGGCCAAAATAATGGGTACGAGTTCCCATAGAGAATGTGTAGAAAACAGATGCAAGCTGGAGCTGCATCGTTAAGAAATCCCAGATAGCAGGAAGGAACCCATGCTCAAGCGAATTCTCAACAATCATCGGAAGGGCAGTAAAAAGACCAAGCTGGATGAGAAGCTGCTGATTGAGGATAGCTCCAAATGCTCTATTATTACTAGAATTAATCATAGCATCCTCAAAGCCACTAAGGGCCAGATAGAGGCGGCCCCATACAAAAGCATAAACAGTAACAACCGTCATCATTGTGGTGAAGAAAAACCCCACTGTAGTGTAAAAGAACGAGAGCATTCGGAAGAAGTCAAGCCTATGACCCAGTCGATAGACATCTCGACTAAGAACTTGCTCACCATTGCCACTAGCAACCTTCGCCTCAAACATAGATATCTGATTCAACCCTACATCCCTTCCTTTACCTACCTGGATGTATTCGTGGTGTGTTACATTGCCGCCTCGCAAAGTGCAATTAAATCCGGCAAATATGTCTTCACTGATATTAATCACTCTGGATGCCTTGCTAATCCCACCACGTGTCAAGAACCAGAACCTATCGAACACATCCGGGTGGCCATAATGCATTCTCACTTTCAGAGGATTTGCCAAAACACGCTGTCCAAGGGTGACAAAGCTCGTCTCCTGAGCAGACATGAACCAAGCAAGAGAGGAAACAGAACCAGTAAAGATGTGTTCACGAACTCCTAAAATAGTTGGCTTCCGTATTCCGTAGTAGGTCCTGTATTCCTCTAAAAGATTCCGCATTTTGAGAGCCTCCTCGAAATAGTTATCTTGGTTCATGTCAATGGTCTGAACTGCATCACCCCGAGTGAAGATCATGGCATGATTCTGATTCTCTGGTTTGCCTTCCCCTATTTTCAAGGGACCAGGCAACCTGACTCTGTATATTTCTACCTCCTTCTGCAAATCCTGATCATATTTAACAAGAACAGAATAATACTCTACTCCTTCTCTCCCTGTGTGAACCTCATCCACATATGCAACTCGAAGGGCTTCATTGTTCTTCATTAAATACAATATATCATCGGCATGTGAATCTTTCTTTGCTTTTTGTGTCCCATAGATCTGGCACGCAACCACGTACGTAAACTTCATCAGAGCAGTGCCATACTCATGTCCTTTGAATAACATACTAACACTGCTACCTGTCCTGCTTAGACTTCGCTCAGAAAGCGATCTGCCAGAACCCAGAGCATCTACACCAATGTCTTGCCTCATTGAACCAACATTAGCTAGTTCTCGTGACCCTTCCCTGATGTCCATCTCTGATGCAGAATCAAGGTATGCCAGCATCTTAAGAGCTTTGTAGTAATACATCATGCCCCTTACAGTACGTGAAAGTGTCTGGCCACGATAAGAAGCCCAAAGACGGAGATCTCTCACCTTGTCTGTCCAGATGTCCTGAACATCCACCATGCCTTCTCTGCGCATCCTCTGCAGGAAATTCTTCCATTCATCATCATAAATCTTCTGTAAATAGAAAAGAGTAGAGATGCCGTCTTCATTCTCAGTCCGCAGCTGTTCTTTGCTATACAAGACTTCTTCATTATAGTATGGGGTCAACACACTGAAAGCCATCATTTTCTCAACTTGGGGAGCATGTGGCATGTTCATAAACAAGGAATTGCTGAAAAAAGCAATACGTCTTCTGGCCTCGAGATTTGTCGGGACATTATGCATCGAATCCCTAGAGGAAAGAATTGTCTGCAGCCGTCGCACATGACGATAGAAGATTGCATTCTCAATATCTGGCAGCTGAACGGCATTCTCAAAGAGCAACCCTGAGCTGGATGATGGTCTGCGGGGTGCCAAACCATCCTGCTTTAATTGCACAATCGACCTCTTTGTCTTTGGGAAATCTTTAATCACTATCTCATACAGTGCTTGCAAGTCATTAACTATCTTGCTCATATCTTTCTTTGGATCAGTGAGGAGCTTGAGAAGTGACATCAACTTGGCATGAATTTGTGGAATTGCAGTCGTCTTGTATGTCTGCGTGAATTTCTCAACCTGAACAGCATGATCAATCTCAAGGAACAAGTTTGTAATAATAGAATGCTCTTCTGTGCCGTCTTTGATGATTTCAAGAAGCAAGTGCCTGATGCTATCATAAGCTTCAATAACAGCACACCGCCTGTACTCATTCTTGCCTATCTTTTTCCAAAGCCATATGTCCGGTGCATCCACCAACTCTTTTCCTTGGCTGAGAGCAAGCAGAAGCTCATTGCACAGGAGTAAACACGGCCATCGGATCACCCTGATGTTCCAAGAGTTCTGTGGTAGTTCCAGGAGCTCCAACTCTTGGTCACTGATGATGTCTTCTTCCCTGAAAGTCAACATTATCTCATTCCATATCAGAGCAAACTTGTTAGCCTCCACCTGATTTGATTCTATCTTCTTATAAGGACGACCTAACCCATAACGCAGCTTCAATCTATGGATTGCATCATTGAATTTGTTTTTCAGTGTTCCTCTCTCCTTGAACAATTGTTCCTCAGGCATGAGATTAAACTGCAATGCACTTGCAAAAAACTGAAACCTAAGCCTCAGCTGCTGAATGTTCCGAATTTCGCCCAAATGTGAAAACAACCCAACCATTGCTCCAACCATTGAAGAAAATATTGAATACCAGATCTGCATGTCCATGAGGTACACCAGAACAACTGGAAGCCAGTACAGTCCAACTACAAACCTACTAGTGTTGTTGAAGAATTCGTGCCACTTGTACTGTATATCACGGTCTCTGAGGTTCAAAATGGCCTTTGTGGGCACAACCAAGGGCTTAATCTGCAGGAAATAACTGAAGGTGAACTTTGATACTAGAACCAAAATCCAGAACAACGTATACTTCACATTGTCTACCAGCCCCTCTCTAAGCCCACGACCTACAAATGTGCGGCTCTGAAACCACCAAGTCAGCAAGTAGAGTATCTTCCAATTCGTCTCCTCCAAAAAGTTACGGATCCATGGGATGATAAAAAGGGTCAACGCCAACACTTCTGGGAGCACAAAGACAGCGGCAGCCTCCAGGAAGTTCACCACTCTTCTGTTGGGTTCCCCCGGCCACCTACCATCCTGGTTTTTCTGCTCCCAAATCCTTGCATAGAGAACACTAAATGCAACAATCCAAGCTATGGAAACAAGGCTCTTGAGAACCATCCTCACCCCAATCCATAGAGTCTCCCTGGAAACCAAACTATACTGAGTACCCGCATCAAGCAATGACTGAAGAAATCGAAGTGCTGCCCAAGTGATGAACACAGTGAGCACTCGCACCTGAACATCTTGGCTTTCCAATGCCTGCAAATTAAATAAAAAAATGGCCAGATAGGTTCACTTAATGTGAAAATATTTAATAAAAAGTTTATGTAATAGTGTTGAAAAGGCCAAAAGGTAAACTGCATAAATAAATGAATTAAGAGGCCTGATGAAATCCAACATACAGTACGTCAAAATAAACAAAGAGAAGTACTGATAGAAATAGAGAAGGGAAATTAACCTGCCATGGATAAGTTGAACCTTGCCAAGCAACAATAATGGCAGCCTGAAGAAACAAAATATGCAGGATCCAAAGACGATCAAAGCTTCTAAACAAATTCCAAAACGACCTCTGCTCCACAAACCCTGTCTTCCCAACCCCCTTGCGCTTATTTTTGGTCTCAAAAAAGTTACTCCCAACATCAATAGGCCACTTGAGCCTCTGAAAACAACGACGACTCCAGAAATACTCGTTGATATCATCATAATTCCTCCAAGCAGAGTGAGGAGCAGTCCCATTCCTGCTGTTCTCCATTTCTTCTTTAATAGTTTTGTAAATAGGTGTAACCACTTGAAGCAAAAAAGCATTTTCACCAGATATAGAAGGTAACACAGGCCTCCCAGTATTCTCATCAATATAATCTTCAAGAATCCTATTCAACTCCATAGCCAGATGATGGAAAATATAACACAAACACTCAGGCACAAACCTGAGATTGGCAGATTCACCCCAAATGAGCAAATACAAAGAAGTATACAAAAGTTCCCTGCGATAATCAGCATGAGAAGGATCCCTTCTATCATGAATCCAAACATTAGACTTCCTACCCAAATAAGAACACCAAGAAGTATAATTGGAAAGTAATTTACGACGAAAGCGACGAAGAACAGTTAGATCAAGTTGGTCAATATTATCAGGTGGAGGTTGAAGTCGCATCTGAGCATTAGCAAGATGTAAAACAAGATGTTCCCTTTGATTCCGAACATTATCTCTTTGAAAACCAAAGAAAATACCAAGCCAATCAAGTAAGTCCATTCCATCTCTCCAAACAACATAAGGAGGTTTACGAAGATCCCCAACAGTTTTAAGTGCAGCAGTTGCAGCACGAACTTCTGGATAACGAAGTGATGGGTGATCAGCAAGTAAATTATGAATTGGGATTATGTTGTAAAGTTCTTCTCTTTGTGGTGGTGGTGGTGGGTTTGGGTTTTGATTGTTGTAACCCACCCCATGCCCTCGTAGTGGTGGTGGTGGGCGTTGGCGTAGGCTCATTGCATCGAATTGGGTAGCTTCACTTCTTCTTACTTCTTCTTCTGTCTTCTTCAACTTATCTCTTTACCTGTAACAAAAAAGATATAGAATATAACGAGTGTAATGACTTGCGTAGACGAAATTGAAAGAAAAAAGCAAGTGGGGTTATATGCGTTACGGTTTAAATTGATTGATTTGAACTTTGAAGCAAAACCCCAAACCAAAACCAATTGATGTTGTTCGAGAAAAGAGTTGAAGAGCTGTTTTGTTCTGAGAATAAGGCCAGAAGGGTGTTTTGTTTTCAAATCTGCAGTCCAGACGATTAGTCTGCACCGAGTAATTGAATAATTTTTTTTTTGAAGTCTAAGAAAAGTCAATACTTTAGATCTACAAAATTTGAATTTCGTTCAAATACTTTAGTTTTATGTTCTCTACTTGGTCAATACAATGTCAACCTCATTTGGAGATACTTTCTTGACAGGTGATATGCAGACCTTTGCTTTTGAGCCAAGTTTATGCCGTGTTATATACAGTACATCATTATCACCTACCAAGTTTTGTGTATAAACCAAGATGGTATACATATATCCATGCATTTTCAGCAATTTTTAAAAGATGCCCAAAACCACCTAGTCAACATCAAGCAACTAAGCAAGCACCCCCAAAAGATATTAGTACCAAGTTTTCCACACAATGCCAAGCATTAGATGCGTATTGTCTTTGTAGGTAGTTCAGCAGTTGATCGATCTAATGACTGCAACTTGAATTGATGATGTGATTCTGTTGTTATATTGTAGTTTGCTCACTACCATAAAGCCCATTAAGCTAACCTCCTCTTGAGATTTGGGTTTAAGGCCTGTGGAGAAGGTTGGCCCATGGTGCCCCCACCATCATCACTGCAGTGAGTGGGACCCCTGCTATGATTCTGAAAGCCAGGTGTAGAATGATAATTGGGTGTTTACTACTTCCAAAAGTTGGAACCAGATTCCGCCATTAATGAAATGAAAGAAAGAATAAAGCTTTTGAATTGATACCATGGAAGTGAAATTAAACAGACAAAAACAAAATCAATCAACTTAGAAACAGCAGTATACTATTACCTTAGTATGTATGTATGTACTTGTAAGCTCTGGAAAGCAAATCTCCTCCTTGTGTTTATCAGTAATGATTTAAAAACCCTAACAAACAAAACAATGTGATTGAATTTGAAATGCATTTCATTTACTAAAAGGAAAGTAGAAATCGAAACAAAGATAGAAGCATAAAACGATATTTAGATAACAACTGACCTAAAATATCGGAACCCGAATGAGTTGGTTTCGGAACCCTAGATCTTAGATACATATGATGAAGAAACAAAGAAAGATTTGGGATTTCAGAATGTCTACTCTAGTAGATGTGTTGTAATGAGTAAAGTTTTTTTGTTAAAGCGCCGTCAATAGAGAAAAGCGTTACGGGAAACAAAACCATTTCAACTCATGTATGATGGCACGCAGTCGCAGACAAACAGTTTTCTGTTCGAGCATTATCTTAGATAGACATATATGATCGATCATCCCACGGTTAAATTGTCTGCCACGTGGTAGTAGGACTATAAAAAAAACAATGAGTAGAAACTGGTTTCCCATGTTGAAATGGAATGTTGCAAACACCAAAATGTGTTTAAATTCATTTGTTGAAACCTCTTCTTCTCTTGTGCACAACATAAGTCTTACTAAATGCATGACTTGTATTCTTTATGT